CATTTTAAAGTGAAATAAAACAAAAACGACTTATTTGGTAACAAAATTACATTTATATGTAGTATATAGTTGAGAAATGTTGTATGAATGTAAATATATAACAATTTTACTTTGATAAAACTACTTAGCACTCGAGACGCATTAAAACCTCCTTCTCATCGCAATCCGCTGCTGCTATCTGTACCGATACGTATAATTTAATATAAGATTACGATCTCTTACATGAAACATAAAATTCAAACACTTGTATTTCCTGTCTTACAATTATTTGTTAGCTTATGTTTATCTTTAATAACCATTTATTTACTAATTATGTCATAACTACCATACCTGTTCGTATCAATTTTGGCTTTGTGATTATGGGAAATTCGGATGACTATACAATAATTATTTGAGACCACTGACCTGATCTGGAGGATTTAATAGCTTCTAGTTAATCCTTCGAATTTAGGCTCATTTGGTTTGTTTTAACGAGTCTCGTACATAGCACTTGCTGACAATGGCCCAGGTTGTATTTAGTGTACCTATAACCTTTCATAGCTGTACGCGAATATTAAAACTATGATTGCTATAAAGCATTCGAGACGTCGGGACCAAAAAATCAAAATAAATATAGTGAAAAAATCCGAAAAAAAATAGTGTGTAACCGATAAAAGCTTTTTAAAGTTTATTAAACTACCACAACTACGGGTATATTTGCTCTCAATTACTATGAGAGATTGTTGTTATTATGAAAGTATAGGTTACTAGTGATTTATCCTCGTTCTGCTCGTGTTCTTCGCTAGGTACGTTTTGACGGTTAGTATAGATTTCTCAGAGATATTTTCCCGCAGTAAAAAGTATCCTTTATGTTGACCTGCGGATGACCAGCTATCATCATATCATCCAAATTTTATTTCATCTGTCCTGTGGTTTTCTCGTGATGTGACAGACAGACAGACAAGAATTCTAAAAACTATAGATTCGGTCTCTGTATCGATAATAATGACTATTTCAATAAGATTTCACAAAAAAATATTGAATGTACAGAATGACTCAGAATTTTATTATATGTACAGATAAAACAACGGTAAGTTAATCGGTCAATCTCTTGATCGAGTTTTCCAAAGCTCTTTTCTGGTTCAAACGCCTGCCAGTGAATTGCCTATACATATGTCAATATGTACAATGTATCTACATACCTATTCAGACCCTCAAATAATAGAAATAGAAATTTTTTGGAAACAGAAAAAATTTTGTAAATACTCAGTTAAGCCTTTCTTCCCTTCCCTTTTCTTTATAAATAACGACACCATCTTAGCCAGATTGGTAAAATCAACGATTTTCACAAACATGAGTCACAATTCGATAGAATAACTAGGATTTTATGTACTTACATACTACATAATATATTTAAAAAAATATATATTCTACTTGGTTAAAATAATACTATACGATGTAAATTCATTAGTATTTTGATCTACTTAGGTTTTTAAAAATATTATTACAATAAATTAGTGAAACAGCTTCTAATTAAACTTGCGTATTTAGTTTTAAAATTACGTGATCGCAGTTACGTTCATACTAACATTTATAAACCTATCTTTTGTCGGTTTGACCCACTAAAGATGACAAATTTTGACAGAAACTCCATAACAGTTATGTAAAAGATCAACACTGATAGGATAAAAAATCGAAAGATAACTTACTAATTTTTTAACATAATCACAAAAGTTGATTATTTATTTCGTTTTTTTTTTGTTTTTTTTTTTTTGTTTTTTTTTTCACCAAAAATTTTTTATGGGACCATCTTTGTTGTAAAACCTATTAATATATCATAAAAAAATATCATGAAAGTCAGTTCATAATTGGTGAAGATACTCGGTATAGTGTAACATATGTTAAAAAATACTGCCGAATAGAGTACGTCTCCTTTCTAAGCTGATCAATAAAATCAATTTTAATAACCAGTAAAATCATTAATTATTACAATTTGTACCAAAAAAGCTTTCATCTCTTTCTTTTATGGTTTTTTCTATTATAATAAAGAAAATTTCACCTAAAAAAAAGGACCTCATACATAATATGTACATATTATGTATATCATAAAAGGGTTGTCGAAACTAAACGAAGCGTAGCGTTAGTACCATCAAATACGTCATACCAATATTTTCGACACGAAAGTTTGCAAGTGCCTGTTACTTCTTCATGCTGTTACGGCACAGTAGAATTTTTGAATTTAGATAGCTTACATCCTGAAGTAAAATATGGGCAACTTTTAGCACGTAGCTAAAAGTAAGGAGATACGGAGGCGAAGTCGCGGGCGATAACTAACTTCATATTATAACCAAAGAAATAAAAAAAGAGCAGAGAAAAGAATAATGACACTACAATACCGTTATCATTTACGCGAATACATGACATTGAATTAAGTTTTTTCCGGACTTGTCGCGTTTTAGATTTTTTGTTACGCGACGTTTTGGGGCTCTAAAGCATAAAATAAAAGGCGAAATAATTTGTAAATATAGTTTTATTTATAATTTCTATGCCTTGACACTAAAATATTAAAAAATGAAATAAAATCTATAGTTAAAAACTTAAATAATAGTAAAAGGCGGGATTTTAAGATACCTATGTATGTATATAAAATTATTTGACAAATCTATATATATAAAAGAAAGTCGTGTTAGTTACACTATTTATAACTCAAGAACGGCTGAACCGATTTGGCTAAAAATTGGTGGGGAGGTAGCTTAGAACCAGGAGACGGACATAGGATACTTTTTATCCCGTTCGACCGCGTTCCCATCTGACGTGACATAAAACTCAAGAATGGGTGGAATAATTTTTATGATATTTGAATTTTTGGATTTCTCTTAGCCTGGAATAGGTTAATAAGTATTAAAACACCTGAAAAATCACGAAAAAAAATAAAGATTTATATGATTAACGCTGGCTAATAACTATTTATATCTATTTAAATCCTAGCGACGAACCCGAGCGAAGCGTGGGTGAGCCGCTAGTCACAAATAAAATGAATAATTCGTTATTCTTATGTTGTCTCAGTTAATTTTAACCACAAAATACACCTCCCTATGTATCCATCTCGTACGAGATTAAATTAAATTCTTGAAACTGAAAAGGTATTTTTATATTTCCTATAAAAGTAAATTATATTGATGTATGGATAATTTGATATAATTACATAGCACAAGGCACACGTCCGCGTCGTGTGGCGAGCTTAAGAGGAAATTATATAGGTTGTTCAAATAACAACAATAAGATGAGAGAGATCCTTCAAAATAGCTACAGCTACCATTTTTTTCTTTTATGTTTTATAAATAAATAATCTTTTTTTATTAATATTATTAATATCAAAGATGGAAAAACCGCAACGTCCGCGTCGATACGAATCTAAATAAATGTCAATCATAATATATCCTATGTAAAATACACTCCCTCTTATCTGTCAAGTGATCTCCGTGGATTATCTTATTATTGTTTGAGTTTTGACTTATTTTTATTCTGACTTTCAAAACACGTAAAATTTACATATTTGGTAATATTTAGATGTTTAATAATTTAGGTGTTCAATCATGAAATTGGGCCAGAGCTAGTTAGAAGCCTCAAGCCGTTCGTTAGATCGCGTTATCTCTTGTATTCAGCCCTTTTTAACGTCCCATAGCTGGGCACGGGCCTCCCTTCAATACGAGGGGTAGCCCAGTGCTAACGCGCCTACTTGGGAAACCAAGTGAAGCGAGTTCAAATCCCGGGTCTCGCATCTCTGATATTTTCATGTGCGAATCATATCCAACATAATTATCATTTGCCATACGGTGAAACATCGAATGTAACATATGGAAAACATCGTGAGGAAATCTGTATGTCTGAGAGAACTTACTAAGTTATCGAAAGACATGTGAAGTCCGCCCGCACTTGGCCAGCGTGGTGGACTATGGCCTGATGCCCTCTTAAACCAAAAGAATTAATAAAAAAGAATTTAATTCCTTCAAATCATAATAATTAAAAATAAAAACAGTTCTCACTTTCCGCACTTTGTCCACTAATAAGAAGTAAATAATGATAATAAAAAATAAAAATATAAGTATATTTTTATATTACACAATAATTAGTAACTGCGATAAACAAAATTGTCAGTTCTATGTATTTTTTTTAATATCTTTTCGAATAGATTAAATGAAATATATAACATTCTACAAATGAAGGAACTATAAGCTCCATATAACCTAAATATAAGAATATAATTTTAAATGAAATCAAGATAATTTCACAATACAAAATTAAAACATTTAAAATCAATAATATTTTATTACGAATTTCAGCATTAGATGTTATTTGTATCAAAAGTTGGTCCAACAAAGGGGGGGATTTCATATATAGAGAAGATGCGCCAGCGTCACTAACAGTGCTCGCCGCGAACTCGCGGACAGACATATACCTACACCGGAAACTATATAAACACAAGTTTTGTGAATTATTCTGTGTTTTTGGATTCTTTAATTTTTGGTAAGTTTATTGAAATTATTCCGGATAGATATTATTGCGAATAGTTTTTTTTAATTACTATATTAATTGATTTGGATATTACCTTCCTAAAATTGATAAAATAAAGTACATAATGTATAATTTAATTATTTTTTCATCCTGATTTTTTCTTCTCTAACAAAAATGAATGCTACATGCATTCATTTTTGTTAGAGATGGATGGATTTTGTTGAGAGGGATGAGAAGACGATATCATTGTGCTTTATTTCTGACTATCCTGTACAGTTTACACTGTGCACTTATTTTTACTGAGAAAATGTTGCCAAATTAAAATTTTAATAAGTATAATTTGCAGTCGTGACATAATTATGGGGAAAAATATTCTATAGTAATTCAGACCGCAACAGTCGCAATTATTGTTTTTATTTACTTATATAAATTAAAGTTAACGAAACAAAATACGAAATAATTATTTAATAATATCCTTTTGTTTCTAGAAGTTGAGCGACCACAAGATGGGCCACATCCGGTTGATGGTACGTACGCTATTTTAAATGTTCTTTCAGTTTCAACGTACGCAAAATTATAAATTAATTTATTAAATAGGCCACATTATAACACATTATTATATTTTATAATTGAACCATGTTTTATAGATATTTTAACAGTGTCCTTTAAAAAGGAAATTTTGTTTTGTTTTCGAAAAGGAAATATTACAATATTATATTATTCTTATGAGCTGTCAAGCTGAGCTTAAAATAAAAGTTTCAAACGATTATTTTAAAATTAATATTCATTGTTGTTAGTTAATTTCGAAATTGAATATAACTGTAGCAGTCAAATCAATAAGTATCTTATTAAGTGGGCACTGCGCATGTCAAGGACGAACAGCCGGATACAGGTGCACTTTCACGCTAAATTTATCTTAAATCAATTTAAATGCGGGCAGACGGCTCGCTGCTTTCATTATTATTCTATACCCATATGTGAAGAACTAATTTATTGATCTACAATGCTTTACCTTTAAATATTATTATCACACGGTTAATGTAAATACATGAAGATTCGTTATTTAAAATAAAAAAAATAGGTAAAAGTATTGTATTATTATTGACTTCAAATCTGGTATTTTGAAAAACTTATTTTACATGTACTAAATCCGCCCGCCCTTGCTTTAAACAGCGGCTACTGCCTACGTATGACCTGTAATTAGCATCGAAACGCGTAGGACGAGGTGCCGTACCTGTATTAATAAACACTTATTAGAAATCTCGTATCCTACGTGCCATTTTTGAATGACATGCTATTTAAATAAACCGGACGATGTGATAACTTTTTAATAATGATGTATTTAGCTTCTTTAAATACTACAAAATGTATTATCAGAAAAGTTAACTTAGTGATATATCCCTTTTATTTTTTAATTCTGGGCTACATAAGACTTCATTTTCTTTTCACCACTATTTAAATATATACGTAAAAATATATAACCTAATGTTTTATATATGTATGTGTAAATATTTCTCGTATAATTTGTATCTGGGCGACTGAGCTTCCAGAAGAGATATAAAAATTCCTTTTTTTTAGAAAAGAAACCTAACTTAAAAGCAAATCCTCATAAATACATAATTTCATCCTAATCATTAGAGCCGAGATACACGAAATAAATTTATATATCATATAGAAGAATTGCTCATTTAATAATATAAGATTAAAATAAGCCGAAACAATAAATTTAAACTATTATACTTACAAGATTCATATGGCACTTAAGTAGGCAGAGAAATGCGAGACATTTCGACATGTAGTTTTTAGTACATTCCAGTTATGAACAATATGAATAGTTTCGAACGAGTTCTACGAGAAAATGAGATCTCACTCTTATGTCACATGTTTTTCATACATTAGTTATATTTACATGATGTATTAAAATTTCTAAAACGTTAACTAAAACTGAAAATCAATAAAGAAATAATAAATTTAAAAAAATATAGACAGCAAAGCTATGAAAGATAATTAAATTACTTCTGAAAAGCTTTCTTAACATTATCCATGAAGCTCTACTACATGAATTTATTACTTAATTTTAAAATAAATCTTAGGACACGAGATAGCTTAAGTAGGGCTAATGTAAAGAGGTGGTAAGGGTTGATTGACTGTTAATATGTTTGTTAATACGTATATGTGGATAAATTAATGTTTGTTTAGTAACAACTGCTATTATTAATTTCATTGTTAACTCTATGTGGTTAAAATAAATATGTATGATATATGATTTAGTTATAGTACAATAAATGATAAAAAATATGCACAAAGCTTGTAACGAAAGAGAAGTCAATGTCATGGTAACGCCTCCTCCAGCCTCCAGCGATCGCGATAAATATGTAAGCCATGTTGCCGACGAGTCTCGTACAGGAATAGCTAGAGCGGATCGTGATACTTTAAGTTAGGCTATGACAAATGAATTTATGCTGCTACATTGCATACAAATTAGACTCTGGGGCTTTCGGCGCCATATATACTTGTAATAAATGACAATTTGAATTACTATAATGCAAATATTTGTAGCTTCAAAGTTACCAAACAGGTTTGACTTTACATAATAAAACGAATTAAAAAATATAAAGGTAAAGCTATAAATAAACCGCAAGAGGTGCATATAAAACAAAAATTATATTAAAGGAGATGAGTAAAACTTTTTGACCAGCGAATAATAAGATTGCTCACATTGTAACCGGATATAACAATTTGAACATTTATTTACTTATTATTCATTTACTATCGCTTCGCTCGGGTATATGCGTAGATGATATATTGCTTATATACAGACAGCGCTACCTTTTGGCAAATTTTATTATTAACTCTAGCCTATGTCCACTAAACTTCGTCTCGTCTGTTCGTGGTTCGTGTCACAAACATACTCACATATACGAACTTTCGCTTTTATAATAATAGTATGAACTATGATCTCAGAGGTCTGCTATAAATGTTTTTATAAGGAAAGCCAGTATTTCGGTAGAGAGTATATTCGCGGATGGTCGCCGCACCGCACGTTGCGTCACACCATCACCCGCAACCTTACGTCACTGTGATATGGATGCTGAGGTTGTTTAACTTAGTGCCTGCTATTGAACAAAAGAAAGTATTAAACATTATTTTTCAATGTTAACGTAATTTATGAGACTTAAAATTTATTTAAATATTTCTACTATAACTTTTAATAGGCAAAAAACAACTGTTACGGCCTTACCCAAATTATATCACGCTATTTTCTTCAAAACTTGTTTTTTCAGCGATAATATTTCACATCAAACTTTAACTGTAATACGTGAATCACAATGTTATTAAAAAAATACCTCCCTCTACGTTTTAAAATAATACAATTTTATAAATAATAAAATGGTGCGTAAACTTTTATATTATTATAGCTTTAATTCAAGCTTTTTTTTATTTATATATAAGACTAGCGGCTCACCAACGCTTCGCTCGGGTTCGCCTCTAGAGAAACAAAAACAAATCTATCCTCCCCCACGCGAACCGTACATTTTTCCGGAATAAAAAGTGATGATGTGCTGATGATGTTCTCCTAGCCGATTCCGGCCACGGCGGCCAATCTCATTGAGATTAGCCAACTGCGCAGGAGATATTATAGTGCTCAAGTGTATGCGCAGGCACAAGTGCACTCTCTATTCCTATCACTCTCATACTCCGGTGGGACGACCACTCGACACGACCGGTGAGAGTTAAGGCGCAGGACCAACGGCTTTACGTGCTCTCCGAGGCACGGGGGTGAAACACCGCCAACTTCCCAACTTCGGGCTGTTACTGAGAATTACTATACAGAAATAATCAGTAACTAAACTTGGCCCGACCCGGGACTCGAACCCAGGACCTTCGGGTGTGCAGCCGTACATGCTAGCTACTACACCACCGAGGCAGTTATCATTTAAATAAAATAATAATAAAATTAATAAAAAGTAACCTATATACTATTCCCATGAAGGAATTAGAGACATTCGTTCATGACTATTCCAGACCTATATAACCTATCTCTGTGCCTTTCAAAAAGATCCGTTCAGTCGTTCTGGCGTTAATGAGTAACAAACATACATCCAAACATCTGAACTTTCACACTTATAATATTAGTACGATAATCACATTCAGACCTTTGACTTTTAAATAATTTAATAAACGACTAAAGAGTGGGTTAAGTTTAATACATTATAATTTATTATTATAATATAATAAAAACAAGAAATTTATGAATAATATAATTTAATTGGCTCGCGTTATAGAACAATAAATATATAATATACTAACTATGTAAATATATTACTTAATAAAAGTGTCGCTTTTCATTAACGAAAGAAAATTTTGAATCGACTTAATAATTCCAGAGAGATTCTCTTACACGTAAGCAACTTTTAACTTTCAAACATTTTTTTATTTTTTTAGTATTAATATAAGCTAATATCTTACTTCACAACTTTTATATCACCAATAAATATAATATACTTCCTTATATATTTGATCAAATTTACATTTAATAGTCATTGCTCAAATCATATAAATTATAAATTGCTATTTAAATAGATATTGACAAATCACGAATAAACAATAAGCATGGTTACACACAGCTATATATTTTACTATAAATGTTTATTGATATTGTAATCAGCGCGCCATTTAATCAGCTTTAACGTTTTTATGTACATTTAAACTTTAATATTTATTACCGATCTATTAATATGATTTTTGTATGTATTGTGTGTATGTATTCAGTCCTTTTTAACGTCCCACTGCTGGGGGTGGGCCTCCCTTCAATACGAGGGGGATCAGGCCATAGTCCACCACGCTGGCCAAGTGCAGGTTGGCGGACTTCACATGTCTTTCGAAAACTTTGTTCTCTCAGACGTGCAGGTTTCCTCACGATGTTTTTCCTTCACCGTAAGGCAAGTGGTAATCATGTTAGAAATGATTCGCACATGAAAATATCAGAGGTGCGAGACCCGGGATTCGAACCCGCTTCACTCGGTTTCCCAAGCAAGCGCTTTACCACTGGGCTACCATTGCCTATATGATTTTTACAGGTTAACAAATGTATACAAGTTTAACTACATACATAAGTTATGGAATTTTATAACATGTGTTTTTGATCAGTGTTAGGGGGATGAACAATGAACATCTATACTTACTATACACTATATTAACATTATAAATGTGAAAATGTGTTTGTCTGTTTGTCCTTATTTCACGTCTTAACAAAGTGACAGATTGGCGTGATTTTTTATGTGGAGATAGTTGAAGGGCTGGAAAGTGATATAGGCTTTTTACCGCGGAGATTATCTCATTTCTCGTCGTCTCATTGCTCATTTGTCCAAACGACCAGTTTACCGAAAGAAGACGACCAATTTACAGTATTATTAACTTTTAAATGTTAATTCCATTTGTATCTACCTCTTAATATTAAAAAAGCTAAAAAAAGTATTTTATCTATATATGTATAAAATCTAAGAAATAAGGCTTTGTTTTTAAA